CAACTCCCGGAATACATTTCCCCAAAACAATCGTGAAAAGCTACCTTGCCTCCAGAACTTCGAAATCCCATCGGGTACAAAATTAATAATTAATTTTTTTTAAGAGCCCCGTCAATTTTAGTTTCCGAAGAACACAAAAGGAGGACCGTAGATCGAATAGTAATTAATTTTTTCGATCGGGACCGGCAGAGTAGCCGCACGATCCTCGTAAATGGAGTCCCCGTTCCTTTTTTCGCCGTAAATCATCGTGCATCGATACGTTCCACTTTGTCACAAAATTATTCGAAAGATAACCTTCCGATAGCTCGTTCGACGAGGAATCATCACCGTTTTGTAAGACTCACAGACGGCATTCCTCGATACTTTGCAGCGTAGATCCTCAGGCAACGAGTCCCGCGCCATGGAACATTCACGTCGCAATCACGTTCGAGCATTTCACTCGACGTACATTATCCGACCGTGAATGTCGTTTGCACGATCGCACATTCGAACACGCACTGCCGGCGTCTTTTCTCGCGGCACGAGCCGATCAGCTGAGCCGTGCTAGTTGGAAAATCGGTATCCTCGACTATTGACCCCCTCACTACCCCATAATATTGCCATACAACAGGATCGGCACATGGATACATTTGCTGAATGCTCTGTGTTTACCTAAACACATTGCCAAGCATTCTCAAATATACCACAACAAATATGTAAATATGTATAGGCCTGCTACGATGTCTTACAACTAAGATGAAATGTTTTCCTAACCCAGATTTAATAGCAAAGTTACGTATCAGACAATGTTTCGACTTGTAAAAAAACTTGGGGACTATTTGGAAAAACGAATTTGATCGATTCGATCGAGTTGTGTGGTACAAATATATTCATATTCGTTGTACAGTGATATAAAAATAACTGAATCTTTTTAAATATTGAAAGAAATAAAATTACTAGGATAGACATTCCACAGATAAAATCGTACCCTATTAACAAAGAAAAATTAAAGCGTTTCCAAGTATATTGTGTTAAATTAACCGTTTATAGAGCACCTTAATGCACACACATCGTATTCACCAAATAAGCGTTATTCGTTACACTTTCCTTCTGCAGTTTTCTGAATATTAATTAATAATAAGGACGATTGTTTGTAAATATTTCGATGCCTCAGTCCTTGTGTTTTAAGATGCTGCACTTAGCTTTATCGTTCTGGCGTCATATTTCTGTCCTGACTCATGATTACTAACTCTTTAATTCTGGAATACACACTGTCTAAACGTGTAGGCAAACCAGCGAGAACCTGACAACTGAATACGAGATCTGCAAATTGAAAACAAATACCGTAATATATATTATATTATATTATATTTTTTTGAATTTTTTAGAATACAGTTCTTTTAAAACTGATGATGATGCTGATGTTATTGATTATGTACTTCAAATTTAGTGCATTTTATCGATTTTGTAAGTTCAGATACTTGTATTGGTTTGTGATCAATTTTTTTCTTTAATTATTATTTATGAGATCATTGAACTGTTGTAAGTAAATAACATGTGTGCACGTTTGTATATGAATAATTCCTTTACTGTATAAAATTTCGTACGTTTTGTGTGAAATCTTTCAAAGTGTAATAATGAAATTTTTTAATTCAGCATTTTATAAACACAGCATCCTCGTATATTTCTTTATCCTCAGAAATTTTCATTACAAATTAAAATTGGTAGAATGTAACGTTGGAATAATTATTGAATGAAAAGGATTAATAAGGTCCGATAAAAATTTTTTGGTCAGACCTTGTAGAATCGACTCTGGGTGTTATTTATCGCTGCCGCGACGAAGATGAGTTGTTTCCAAGACTGATGGATCTGACGATATTATGTCACGGGATATAAGAATTCTAGAAGGACTTCGAAGAACCGTACTATTATAGAATCAGCGAACCATCAAGTGATTTCTGTATGTAAACACGATTCGTCAATGTTACCAGTTCAGGGTTGCTCGCCACGCGGCGCGCTCGTTTCAAACCGCTACGAGTCAATTTTAGGCGGTCCATTCGCGAAACCGGAAGTTCCTCCAAGTACGTTCACTCGCTCTTCATCGGTCAGTGGTTCCGACCAAATCATCCAGGCTTCAAAATTAAACTTCAGACGTGTCTCGAGATACTATGATACTCGAGATGTTTTATAGATTTCCGTAAGCAATTGTAAAAACGAATCGAATGATTTCACAGATGGCTGTACGTATAAATAAAAATAGAACAAGTAACGCTTAAGCAAAAATGCGCTTTCCATAAATATTAAAATGCTCCATTAGCGATCTGTGACGCGCGACATTTTAGAATAAGTGGCACTTTGAAATAACGAACGATAGTCAAATGTAAATCATCATCATTAATCGCTTTAGTCTGAGATATTATATTATCACATCTCAATGTTATTAATTCTGTTAATGAGATCCTTACTGCCAATCAAGCATTGTAATATGCGTTTAGAATCAAAGGCAGTTTCAACAATTATCTAACTGATTTAATAGAATACGTTTTCAGTGTATATCTCTGTTACTTGCAAAATGGTGTTTCTGGAGACCTTAATTAGCAATCAACCCTCGTCGTTCAGATATACTTCTGATATATTTAGCATTTTCTTTTCAATTTTAAACATTGGTTTCAAACTGTTTTTAAATGATTTTAAATGCTCATTTACGCGAATTTTTTTTGACAATTTCCTTCGTCGTTCCGTTCAAAGTCTGTTCTGTTAAGTTTCACGTACCGGCGATTTAACGAAACCGATGTACGGTTATTTTTACGGATCTCAAGTAGTGTTTCAGCCGAAAATAAAGTGCATCCGCGGTCAGGATCGCCAGGCGTAGTCGTTGAATTGTAAATGAGCAACGCTACTTCCTTCGGCGTTTGATTCACGCTCGCCTTCGGCTCGTCTGGTCGGGCTTGTCTGCTATTATTTTTAGCGCGTGATCAAGAAGCTGTGCAAGAAATAAAGCGCAAGGAAAGCGTTTGCGAGACGGCCGCAACGTCGACTGAGTACGTTAGGTCATCCCGCAGGCTTGGCTTGCATAATTAGCGGCCGTTCTGTCACCGAAGCATGTTCGTCCGATCGCGATCTATCTACCGCACCCTTTTCAACCGCTCATCCACGTGGTATGCTCGCGAAATCAAGAAATTAACGTTGCTCCGTTTTGCGCAATTACACCTTCACTCGTGAATCGTCATACAGAAGACGCGGACATTCGAAACGCGACTGTCGCGCAGATCCTGGGACTAAGACGCTATAACATTTGGTAAAAAATCAGGCAAAGGCACTTTTCTACTATTATTTATGGAGCACAGTGTGTCAATATTCGATAGAAAGTTTCGATCGACTACTTTCTTACTACTAGATTTCCCATTTTTCAAGACAAAGATGAGGATGCTGAGCAAGATATCAAAATGCGTACCTTTTTGCCTCGTGAGTTTAAAGACGTTTCAGTAAACGAATAGACAGCGCGAAAAGAAATTTGTTAAAGAACACTTCAAAGTAGAAATAACCAACATGTTGGATGGTATTTATCCCAGTTGGCAAAGTGTTAAGTCAAAAAATAGTAAAACCATATTTTAGATTCAATCCTTCCCCCCCTCTTTTAAAATATAAATTATTGAACGCCTAGGTCGCGAAAAATTACCGTTTTCGAAAGCGACTCTCGACCCATAAAAGTCTGGAAAGCCCCGGGTTCGTTTCAACGAATCATTCGCGATCGTACATCGAAGTGTACATAGTTATATTGTTCGTTCAAAGCGGCACGTTGACGGTACAAAGTTTAACCTGAAATAAAAATCACAGAAGCGCAATGACACATACGGGAACTCCTACCAACAGGTCTCGAATATTTAACATTTCTCGCTGATCGGTTACAAGTACGAGTTTGCTGCGAGCGAATTACGAGATTAGAAACATGCAAGCGCTACGAAAATATTTCGCCAGGATTTTCCAACAATACCATTGCGAAGCAGTGTTTTCTTAGTTAATTCGATAGATACCAATCTCGTAAATCAATTTTATCGCACGTCGATATCTCTATCCGTATACTGAAGCTGAAAATATTCCCACAGCGTACTGTATGTACAAGACAAAAAGGTTGAAACAAATAGAATTTTAAAATTACCATCGACTTAGAAAATCCTTGGAAACGACAAATATTTTAATTTTATTATGTTTCATAACACACAATATTTAAATATTTTCTGAATAGCATGAGTATGCATACACCGATTTTCTTCTATGTATGTTGGGTAGTATAATGCCATAAAAACATTACTATCAGTACCCTAGTTTTACGTAACATAAATTGAAACCGTTTCATAATATGCAATAAATTCGAATCTCAGCTAATGAATTTGTAAATGTATTACGTATTATTCACGCGCAAAATATGGCGACGAGTTTTTAGACGCGAACGGAAGTGAAATTGGCGACACAGCCGTCTGGACAACGTTCTTATTTTTTAAGTTTCTTCCGAGAATAAAATCTTTAAGTATCGTCTTGAGAAGTTGGTCATACGTAAGCATCCGGGCTGTGACGATTATTTCCACACAGAAATTACGTTATCTACGTCACTACGAGGGGACTTCCTCGAACGAGGAATACCGAAGTCTTAAAATATAAAATTACGCGGATAACAGTATCGCAAAGCGTTCGTCTAGGATGAAATCACTTGGAAGGGGCGTAGGAGGATAAAGAAGCTCTGTTAATTTCAAACATTAAAACGATGTTACTGTACAACTAAAAAATTAATATATTTATACTTGTACCTCGTGTAAAGACAACTTCTATTATTTCTATTGGTGTACTTTTTAATCAGGTCTCTATTTTAATTTGTTTCAAATACTTGTCTAAAAATTTTAATTGCAAATTCTATGATATTTGTTTTTTCAAACTTTGTTATTTCATTAGGTGTCATATCGAGTAGATATATTTTCTATTACTTGAGAATATATTTAGTAAACATACGTGATATTATTTCGTACCTTAACTTTTGATAAGCCCTTGTAGAAACCTTTAGGGTGTTCCTATAACAAAAAGAAAATAGAAATTAATAAGTCTCTTCGCAAGGAAAACTGTTACTTAATATTTATTTATTGTTTTCTGTGTAATGACGTGTTAAAATTTTCTTCGTAACATATAGAGATATTTCTAAGCTTTAGATAATATCTGGCACATGCTAACTCTCGGAATATCCCTGGTATATGTACGTATTCTGTGGTTTCTAAGATCCTCGTTTAGACAGATTTACTACTGTGGTAAAAGAGTTTTTCTGAATCACCTAAACTGATCTTTATAATTAAATCGAATGACGGACTATATCTTTGAGGAGTCATCCATCAATCATTCTTCTAGTGTAATGGCCCTCAGGTATCGATAGTAGATTTATGAACCATTTTCGCTTTAGTGTTCTTATTCTAGGATGGTAAATCTTGAAGTAACAATTCTGAATTATTAGTGAGTATGTTTTGCGTTCTAGTCTACGCTTATAATGAATTTGGTCCATGGGTTTCATTTTCAATTTGTTTGCGTGGCTATCCCTCCGTCACTTTCTTTATTTTCTTCATCTTCGTTTCTTCTCTCGTCATCTGTACATGATTTCTCCTGAGCGTATACATGTATTACCGTTCTTCTGACCTGTAATATTTTTCCACGAGCAAAGGTGTTTCATCGAACATTCCCAACTTATATTTCACGACGAGGGTGGGTGTATTTCCGCTAAATTTTTCGGATAACCGTAGTTCTCGAACGCTCTCACGATGACGCGGTGTTCGAGAGGCCTTTGGCTTACACTTGTCGGTCTTGGATCGTCTGTACGTAAGTACTTACATATCATTTCCTCCGGATGATTCATCGCGTACGTTAGCTGCGCCCTTCAGGGTCACAATGGCGGATCTCCAGTGGAGGTCGGAAGATCGCACGATATCGCATTACCCTCTCACAGGGTGCACCTGTGCGCGGAGTCACGGTGGCATCGCGCCACACATTCTCTCCTCCGGATCACCCCACGTGTTCCTTCATTTTTCCATCTTCCTCCCGTCTTTCGTTGCTTCTGTCCTTTCTTTGCCTTCGCACGCTCGGATGGCCGTTCGTCCCGATAAGATTGACAACTGGCCCTACGCGATTGCGCCACCGTCAACAACACGTGCCTTCGGACATCGTTCGCCCATTCATGCCTGCGCTCATTCAGCGCGACTATAGTAGTATCGATTGAATCAACGATATAACGCTGACCGACACGCCGGAAGTCGCGGCGGCTTTGGAATATGCACCTTCAAACTTTATCCGCCACTAAAAATTACTTGTTTCGTCATTTCTTATAACGATATAATAACGTATACCGGTATTTAATAAATAAGTTTTTGGAATTATAATAGCTAATAAATTACTCTGAGAACTGGTCTTTTTCTCCGTGTAGAATGTCACGATAATGCAAACGATACATAATTTACGAATGCAGCCGTGATTCTGTCCCAGGCACAATGCAATCTGCCAGTACGTTCTGCTGAAATACAGGGCGATTACGAGGAAACGGACGCAACAGGTGCCACATCCTCTTCCCCGATAATCTGTCATAATCTTATCTTGACACCTCGGTCCCCCGATTTCATGGTATCCCTGTTTCGGTTGCTAAGAAGGGTGCTGAGTTACGTGTTTAGGGGAAACATTAGTAACAGACACGAATCAAACAATGAGAAACTGACGAGTTAAAAAGCAGGTTTATACCTCTTTGCCATTTTCGATTGTTGCAAATTTTATTTCAAGCATCGAATAAAAGCTTTCTACAACGTTACAGTTATCCTTTTCTTTTCTGAAACATATACCTCGAACACTTTTTCTTCTATCAAATTTTAATCTAAAATTTTCAATCTGAGAAATCCGAACTCAGTAAGAGCTTAATCTATATCGATGTTTTAATTTAAAATTAGTTTCTCACACCGAAATGTCCCCTATTTGATCTCATGAAATCGGTGATCGTGGTGAAAGAATTCTGTTGCACAAGAAGAAAGAAATTGGCGTCACACGGTTACACCGAGGCAAGATTGTTCAGGACACGAAACGTTTGTAACGGGACCTGATCTTGCGCAATACTCCAAAAAGAGAGTCGATGATGACTAAACGTGGTCCAACGCGTGGATACTCTTCACGTCTGCGGAATTTGCTTACAATGATTCAGAGCATGATGACAAGATCCGGTGTATGAATCGTGAAGGGTTCCGTTACAATTTTTTAAATTCTATCCTTCGTAACTTTCAATTCTGATCTGAATTTTTGAAAAAAATAAATCTACTCCTATTTAGATTTTGTACTAAATAAACTGATGGTTTTTATTATAAGGAAATATTCAAATTACCCCAAAAATAACAGAAAATTGTAGGACAAAATAATACGTATGTACATCGTTAATTGATCTATATAAAGTTCTTGGTATTTAATGTTATTAAATATTCTCATAAAAAACGCAAATGTTTATTACACAACCTAATAGCTTGCACGTTGTTTGGTAGTCACTGGTGACCGGAAGTTGAAACCCACAATTCGTAGCAACCCTAATACTCGTAAAATTGTAAATAATGCTTTAATTAGGAATACTGTAAAATGACAAATGTTCCATCGAACTGTCAAATATTTCTACGCTTCTGGCTATAATTTGGGCAAACGTAGCGGACTTGAAATGTTTGGACATGGAAAACTAGCGTGGCGGGTAATTCGTTGAGTGCTTATTAAGAATGATGCGACCTCGAATCGCAACCGTGTATGGAATCCAGCCAACACACGGTGAGAATGAGGCCAGAAAAGCATTTCTTCCGCGAGTGGGTTCGTCGATTCAGCAAGACCTTCGGTTTCCGCGTCCGAGACATTGCTCCAAGATGAATGGAGCATTCCAGGAATCGATCTCCGATGATTCAACGACGGGATTCACTATCCCGTTGGCAACGACTACTCTTTAAAAACTAACCCCAAAATTTCGTCATAACGTACACACGCAATAAAACACCGAAGACCCACGCGAGAAGGAGCACCACCGGAAATACCAAAGATTTCTACCAACTATCTGTTCCGAAACTCCTTTCTATAAATAGAAGAAGCTTGCACATTCGCTAGAAAAAAGTAACGTCATCTATTTATGCCAGTTTTAGTTCCAATTTTTTGTGCAAAATTGTGTAATAATTCCAGAGATATCTTAAATTAAAGCACCCTCAAGATTGAGTGTTAAGAGAAACTGAACAGAAGTGCAAACTACCATATATTTAAATTCAATTTTCTCTGAAAGGAAGCCTCCCACGTAATTTCGTTATGCTTGACAGTCGTCTTTTTTTGATCCATAGAACCAAACGTTGACCCATCCTATATAAACAGAGTTTCTTTTTCGATAATATACGTAAACAGCCACTGTTTACGCTGCTATCGAGGAATTATAGTTTTCATAAACAGGAAAATTTGAGTGTGTTATTTTGTCGTAGTAAGGCTGGAGCTCGATTCAGATAGTTGGTATTCGCTTTCGAGGAAACTCGGCTGCAATTCCCGATCGAGGTTGCATCTTATCGTCGAGGCGTTACAACACAGTCGGCATAAAGGTGCAGTAATTTCTGGGTGACCAGTCACTCAGTCGAAGGTGAAATAAAAAATACAAGGATTTTTCCCGTTGTCTGTTGTCTACGACTAAAGAATCGTTAACGACGCTCGTCGTATTTCCCTTCTCGAACCTGTCTTTACCTCTGGAAGGACGTCTACGATTGCGACCTATTCTCACACTCCGTCGGCGCCGCCATTTTTAACGTCCTGGCTAATACCGGACCGTTTCGTACCGGTCAGAGGACGCGTGACGATGACTCCAATATTACTGGCTAGTGCGACGAATTAGCATACCCGTACCATTTTTTTCCGCCGAAAATAACTTCTATTACGAACTCCGGTTTGGTTATATTAGGCCTGAAGACGATCCTAACGTGTAAACGTAAACTCTTTGAAACGGTGTTCGTAATTTCATTTTCTCGATCAGACTTTTTAAACTTTTGTTTCAATTTTATGATATTTCGTATTTCTTTGACCAGTCACGCGACCTGAGTTATTATTCGTTTAGAATGAAAATAATTTTCAGCGAAACCAAATAATCCGTTTTAACGTAGCTCGTGGATTTCCATGTCGTATTGTTTTCCTACGTGCGAAAATTATAATTAGAAGCGATAACAGCAATTACAGGCAATCGTTATATCTGAATGTAGATTAAACAAATTAATATGTTTAATCGACTCTGTCTTTTATAAATTGAACAATGTCATGGGATCCCTGCGTAACAAGTACCTACGTCACAGGTACGAAAACAAAATTTGTTTGCATTCATGCAAATGCGATTAAGTAAGTGTGAAAATAGCTCATAACCGATCCAAACGATTTCCTGCGGATAATAATTTCATGGTCCGAAGAAGATCATAGGTAAACCCCAACGCGATTGCTGAGTCATTATGAGACTCCGAGAAACCAACTAGAGAGTTTCTCAGTAACCAGATCATCTTCCCCTTAAATAGAATATACCGCATATGATTATGCCATAAATGAAGCGATTATGGCTTATCAACGACATTATATAATCTACGCACGACGATGGAGGGTATATCTACTCACATTGTTTAATGTATGATTTTTAAAAGGTTAGATGAATGCAGATTAATATTTTCAGTGCTATACCAATTTGATTAATGTGATGATATTAAAATTTATCCTAAATGCATTTTAGTGTACTTAACGATGTGATAGATTTTAATAGATATTGGTAAATGGATATTTTAATATAGCGTATTTTAATTCCACTTAGGTTCATCGTTTGGTCAATTTCAATTGGTAAATTGAAATGTTGCTTATTTGAGAAAATTACATTTATTTTTTTTCTTCTTAAAACAACTTCTTTTCTAGATATGAGTTATAAGACTCATCACTGAAGAACTAAATAAATAAATTCCCAAGTTTAGATATTAAAGAAAATAAATCTAGATAGAATTCATGAATTTCAACGACGATACAAAAG